AGAAACGAGAGAAAAGAAAAGAAAAAAGGGTAAAGAAAGATTTTTGGTGACCATAGAAAATTCAAGAGTTTTGAATCTCAAAGCTTCTCTAGGTTAAGGGTTGCATGCTACAAAGGGGAGCAAACGAAACCAAAGGAAAACCAAACAAACGAAAAAGAGATTGAAACTAGGAGGTCTCTAATGTTGGGTTTAAAATGATGAAGGTGTTTTGGTAGCTAGCTTCGTAGTTACTCTCTGTTTCGTTTCATTTTTCAATCCTTCATCCCCATTCAAACTTAATAGCTAACTTCCTACTTCATGTTTTCTTGCTTTCATAGATCATCATGTCTTAGATTTCTACGGTTTGTCACTCGTCATTGTGTGTTATTTCAAAGTCGCTAAGGGTTGTCTTTGTTTTTGGGTAATGATGCATGAAAGGTAAAGTAGGAACTAAGGGGAGCATGGTGAGACCTAGTTTTGTTTTAGGGATGATTTTCGATTGGTCATGTTGAGAGCAAGGGAGAAAAAAATAAAAAGAAATGAATGATGGACAAGAAAAATATAGGAGCGAGTAGGTGTGTTTGATCCAAAAAGAAACGAAAAAGATTCAAGTGTTTGTTTGTGGGTGTTAGCTCGCAGAAAATAAGGATGAGCTTAGCCCAATAGGTATTTAGTGATTGATTGGGCTAGTTTCGATCCGACCTAGTCGTAGATAAAATAATAACGTGGGCTAGGTCTAGCCCAAACCAAAAACAAAATGAATAAGTTGGACTAATCCATGGCAATAAGAAAAGGTTGGACGAGTCCAACCCATGAAAGCCTTAGGTTGATTGCAGCCTAGCCCTAATCCCCTCAAAGGCTATCCTGTCCGATAGAGCCGACTCAATGGGCTCGACCTAGTGGGCTTGGCCCAACGGGCCCACGACCCTTTCCAAAAAAAAATGCTTATTTTATTTTATTTATTTATGTGTTTAATTTTTTTTATAGATAATTTGTCTTGCATGTCTATTTATGTATGCTTATTTTTTTAATTTAATTTATACTTTTATATTCTAGTCGTTTTGGAATTCTATTTAGTTAATTTTAATTTTAGAATCTTAATTTTCACAAGTAGTTAAGATAACTAAATGATAGTTAAATTGTCGAGTCTCCTATTTTTTAGGGATTGATGATGATTCTCTATTGAAAAAATAAATATAAAATGATAAAATGATAAAAAAGGAAGTACACTTTCATTTTTCCATATTTAGTTTAGACAACCAAATGATAGGTGAATTGTCGAATCTCCTAATTTTTTAGGGATCGATGACGATTCTCTAGAAAAATAAAAAATAAAAAAACAATAAAAAAGGAAGCATACTTTAATTTTAGAACTCTCTTTCCTTAAATAGTTTAGATAGCCAAATAAATAGATGAATTGTCGAATCTTCTAATTCTTAGGGATCGATGATGATTCCTCATTGAATCATAAGTCACGAACATTTAAATTGGTTCGAAAAATTAGAGTTTAAATCCAAAATAACTTTGCATAAATAAAATACTTTAGGAGATAAATTTAAGACCAAAATAGACGTGGTACCTTTCCTAGGAAAAAACATTTTTTGGTGATTGATGTCTTTCTAAAACTATACAACTCTTTACCCTAGAATCTCTACACCAATGCTATTGTAGGTTTCTAGTTTCTTCAATGCTAAGTGACGACTCCAAACTCAATAATAATTCACATCCTCATAATAACTCACAAGCGAAAAGCAAATCTCCTCAATTCGAGAATTTTTTTCGAGAGTCCCCATCGACAAGTGGTAGTGACACATGCATGGAAAGAAAACACTAGAATTAGTGATGTTGGGAAATGTTTAGTCACTTGAAATGGTTAAGTTAGTGTTTTGAGCATGATGTATGTATACCTAGAGAGAGAGAGAGAGAGAGAGAGAGAGAGAGAGAGGAGCATGTGTTTTTAGAGAGAAAAATATTTTTTCAACGTGTATCTTTGTGTTTTGCACTTGTTGAGTTTATGAAACATATAAAACTTGTTTGTATGAAAGAAAGAACTCCTATATTTTGTAGTATGAATTTACAACCAAACCGACCCTTATTCCTACATTCCGGGTACAACATTAAGAGAATTACTGGAAGGATCAACCAATTTATCGATCTCTGCTTCCTTTTCAAGCATCAGCCATTTTGATGTAAAGTTTACAATGGATAGCTAGACATTGATTTTTAACAAAAATATCAATATGGATACAGCAAAAACTGGGAATCCTTCCTTTTTCTCCCGATTTCAGATTTCAAAGTTCTCTCTTTTATTTGTGAGATAATAACACAATAAGTGTTTGTATATTGAAAATTTTTATTTTTAAATATGTCAAAATTTATTTATTTATTTTTTCAAATGAATATGTGAACTCTTAAAAGAATAAAGTGAAATTTAAAGAGGTGGCATCAATTGGGAAATCTTATAATACTCGAGGAGTAACTAGTGCTATGTAAAGTAGTAACTCCATTTATCCACTTAGGGGAAAGAGATAGACAAAAAAAAAAAAAAAAAGAATTAAAAAATTGAGCGAATGTGGAATCTTCTTATCACTTTTGTTGGGTTCGGATATAATTTTATATGTCTATCTTTCTCCTCCAAATGGATTCATAGAATAACTACCGTACATGTCATTAGTTACTCCTTGAGTATTATAAAATTTTTCAGCATCTATGATATAGACATTGTATTGATGTGTAATTTAAGTGATAAAATGAAAATTATAGCATGGATATTAATTGACGGCGTAGCACAAATGACATGAAAAAACAATTTTGAAAGGAAATTCCCCTCCATTTCATTTTTTCTTTTACTTTTTTCTAAATTAAAAAAAACTAACCTAATAACTTTACAATTTTCTTCTTCTCTAACCTAAAAAAAAATTGCATTTATATATATATGTTTTTAAAAAATAAAAGTATAGAAATGGAGGGAAATTTCTATTTTTTCATAGGAAATCAAAACCATAATTTATAATAGTTATCTTAAATTTTATATTTGTGATGATCTAACTAAAAAATATTATTTTATTTAATTCATTAAAATTATTATGGAAAATTTATACTTATTAACTAAAAAAAGAAAAATATTTTATATTATATTTATAATAAAAATAAATTTATGATATTAACTAAATATGAAAAAAAATAATTTTAATGTTTTACATTGCTAAAATTATATTTTATATTTTTTTGAAATAAATAAAAAAAATAAATGGAGTGAATTTTCCTTCAAAATCTTTCTTCCATGTCATTATTGTCAAGTCACCGTGTCATAATTCTCCTTTCATCACTTAAATAACATCTTAACAATGTTTTCATACATGCCATTTTTTTCAAATTTTATTTAATTTTTATATTTGTAAAATTTTTTCATATATTTAAAAAGAATAAATTTTAACACACTTCATTGTAAAATTTCTCAACAGACACACCTTACTATCTCATTTTTTGTTGAGAATGATTTGAAAAGCAAGTTAGAAGGGCTTTTTAAAAGTAATCGAAGATTCAGGTGCAGAGTCTTACTTATCTTTTGGGCCCTTAAATGCCACTCAAACTTCAATTCCGTCGTGTTGCCTACCTAGTGGAACAAAGCTAGTCCATCTTTTCCTGGTGGACCTGCACAAGTTCAAGAATCTGATTCATTAACCGTGAATATAAAGGATGGGAATCATGCAAAGGGATCCAAATTGGAGACAGTTTTACGGGATCCAAGTTTCCAAGTTGGTTTTTTTCCCCCTTAAAAGTGGGATGACAATAGTCTCGTTACAGATGTGACGAAGAAAACCGTGCATTGATGTCTGTTTAGTAACTCCACCATATTTATATCAAAACTGAGAGTATATTGTAAATGATATTAATCAAATATAAACGTACTTTTTATTTAAAAAATTAATGATCGTATTTGGACCTGAAACGTCAAGTTAAATGATTCTTATTTTTTTCATCTAAAAGAAACGTATTAGGGATTTTGTTTTTGTGTGATCAAAACATCAAAAGTTAGGTTTCATGATAAAAAAAGGTTTTTTTTCCCCTAAATTTGAACATTTAAAAAAATTTATTATCTAAATAGATCAAGTCGATGAAATAAATGCGTTAGTCTGACCTGCAAACTATTTAAAAAATGCCGTCATCATTAAATAAAAAATAAATAAGTCAAAAAATGTTCTAGCTTTATCCAATAAATCAAAATGGTGCAAAAAATTCATTATTTCATAAATAGCTTTTAACTTGAACTGCACTAACTCGTTTTCGAAGTCAATTAGGAGATTATCTAGGGTTATGATATCACCAAATAGTTTTTTCGAGTAATTAAATTAATTTATCTTTTTCAATGAAATGAAGTTATTTTAATACAAAAAAATGCGACGTTGTGTTTTGATAAAACTGAAGCTTTTTTTTTTTTTTTTTTTTTTTAAATTAAAATAAAGCTGAAGCTTTCCTTTCAATTGTAATAAGTGTTTATGGATAAATCTCTCAGCAAACAATAAAAGAAAAAAAGTCTTTATAAAGATGGAACATATGTAGAAAAGTTTGAAGATAATTTGCGCAATCAAAGATGGTTCATTTCAAACAATTTCCGAAAGAAGATATATTATTAGGAATTGTGTTATGGTGAGATCTATTTTCATGTATGTAAGTATATATATATATATATATATATATACACACACACATATCGACAGTATCTTCTGAAAGTAATCCAAGCAATGGACCAATGTGTGCCTTAAATACCGTGACTATTTTGATAGATTCGTGAATTGCCGCAAGAATATAGGCCACTAGCCTTTGTGGAAAATGAAGCCATAGTCCAATACAACGACTTGCTCTTGTCCAGTATAACTTTTCTTTTGATACTTAAGCAGGATCGACTATGAACTTGGAAACAGGTATTTACCATTTCCTTATATGGAAGGCCGAGGCTAGTCTTTTTTTTTTTTCCTTGCGTCTTTACAATTGCTTAGGGATTTTAGCAACTACAGACTATGGCTCAAATAGCAAAACTGGAGGTCCAAACAGAGATTAAATCCTCTGCTGATAAGTTTTATGACATCTTTAGGAGGAAGCAATATCTTATGCCAAAGATTTGCCCTGAATATATTAAGGGCATCCAAGTTGTTCTAGGTGACTGGGAGACAGTGGGCTCAATCAAGCTGTGGACTTATGATGCAGGTATGGACGCAAAAATAACCCCTACCTTACATTTTTGCCAAAAAAATTATCAGAAAAAAAAAAAAGGGAATGAACTGTTGATGTATCAATCAAGCCACAAACATCAATTTAGTTTCATCAGTACGATAATCATTATCTATTATAATTAGCTGTTCAATTGTTGTTTTACTAGGGAGTTCTGAGATTGTTAAGGAGACGGTCGAAGCCATAGACGACAAAACCAAGTCAATCACCTATAATATGTAGGAAGGAAAAATCTTGACATATTACAAGACTTACAAGTCCACTATTCAGGTTACACCAAGGGGTCAAGCCGGCTTGGCAAAATGGACTGTAGAATACGAGAGACAAAATGAGGAAATCCCTGATCCTCATAATTACGTGGAATTTTTGGCCTGCATCAGTAAGTCTGTCGACGCATACCTTCCTAAGGTGTTGTAGCACGAAAGGATTAATTAGAATCCTTTCGATACTGCGCGTACTTTATAATAAAAAGCTTCTGAAGGGGGCTGCATGCTGTGTGAACCATGTTTTTGCTTTACGTTCTACTTTTCAAGAGGTTATTCAATCCTTTAGTCAGTCTATTTATACCCTATAAATTATTCATGTTTGCAGATCCGAACCTTGAAAAAAAATTTATTTGTATACATTAGAAATTGAAAATTTTACATTAGCCATTGAAGTAGCGGCATTACAGTAGACCCGTCACAACGGGGATGGTAATGAATTGGGTTGGAATTGAATTTTGTTCCACTCCTATTTGATCTGAAATATTTAAATCTAATTGGATAAAACACTACAGCAAAATACACCTTCTTGGTATTTTTCTATTTTGTTCCACTCCTATTAGTGACACAACCGCCTCTAATGTTTTAATTTTATTTAACTTTCAAATTTAATAATTCTATTCTTTTTTTAATTGAAAACTAATAAATTATTAAAAAAAAAAAACATTACACCTTGTTGAATGAAAATATAAGAAAATTATATTATAACTTACATAATATTTTTAAATTTATTATTATCAAATTTCAAATACATAAGAAGTCTTGAAACATCCACGAGACAAAAAGAAAAATAAATTTAAGTATTAAACATTTATTTAAAATATCCACGTCCAAAATTTAAGAGTGTTTTAGCTTTCTTCTAACCAAACCAAACCAACGCCCCCCGCCACCCCCACCCCACCCCCCGAGCAGACTTTTGGCCGAAGGTTAGGATGTGACTGATTACACTGCAGATCCAACTCCACAGCTTTTTCCAACTCAGACGCATCAAAACATCCCTTCAGATTCCTATCCAGTCGCACTTCCTACCTCTTCTCCTTATGCAAAGTTCTAACTTGTAAAATTCAACCACCAGTTACAATTTTATATTTGGTGCAGCACATTAGGAGAACATGTGGTAGACTATAATTCAGTATAAAAATTCTCTCTAAATAGTTGGGATGAAAATGATTTCAATTTTTCAATCACCAGAAAGCAATCATACAACTAGAAGATACATGTTATTCCCATTGTAATCCTCCGTACTTGAGAATTTATTAAGCGGGCATGATAGACTTCATTCCTCAACAAAGGAGTTGGTATAATTTCCTATTATATGCCACGAGAACGAGATAGGCAAGTTATCTCAACACAATTTGTACATTCCATTTAAGAATATTCATATTTTTGGCAATCATTCTTCAATTTCTATTTAAGAGACCTTTTACACTTTAATACATATCAGAGCAATTATTCATTTGAGCCATGACTATAGAAAATTACACCGCAATCATGGATGAACAGGAATTGAAGTGCCCATTACCTCAATATAAACATAAAAGAGAGATATTTGTAAATTCGGTGGTAGAGTACAATATAGAGAAATAACTTACCCAGTCAAAAATTAATCCCTTCTGAACCTGACCATTCCCAGGGCGTAATGCCTTTTGCCTGTTATGAGTTCCAAAAGTAGAATGCCAAATCCAAAAACATCAGTTTTATCGGACGATTTCCCAGTTGAAAGATACTCAGGTGCAATGTGTCCTATAGTCCCCTGCATTACAGTAGTGACATGTGAAGCTCTAAGATCCAACAGCTTAGCAAGACCAAAATCTCCAAATACAGCTTCAAAACCTTCATCAAGTAAAATGTTTGCAGCTTTAACATCACTATGAATTATCTTTTGATTGCATTGTTCATGCAACTAGAGAGTCCACAGGCAGCTCCAACGGCAATGTGTATCCGTCTATTCTAATCTAAAGATGGTTTTTCGCGACAGGTCACTGCAAAGTAGAATTGAACAAATAACCATTTAGCAGATCTCTTGCAAATAAGGCATTAAGAAAAGGTTCAAATATAACTAGAGAAAATATTCAGCTTGATTTTCTAGTTGAAGAACCAAACAGTGAACATTTAGGTCATGATTGCTGTCTGAGATGTATTGGAAGAAGGGATAAGAAGAACATTTTCAGTAGGAAAAAATAAATAATTAAAAGTTTCTTCAAAGAACCACTATTGACTTTAATGCTATATTCCAAATGTTTAGTGCATAAATTTTAATGAGAAAATACTTGCATTTGCATTAGAAACAGAGATTAATACAAACTTACTTGCCCAAATGAACTAATAGTAGAGTTTGAACGAGCAAAATAAGACAAACCTCTCAGGCGGTCAACAACACTGCCTTTTGGCATGTACAGATATACAAGCAACGACCTCTCATCAGCTGTCATATAGAAGCCATACAAATATAGAAGGTTTTGAAGTACAGCCAAGCCAATCATTTTCACTTCAGTTTGGAACTGCACCTTGTTAACTTCTCAAGAATCAAGAACGTAGCAGCTGCAGAAGCTATGAATTAGCAGAAGAAATCAATAGAAGCAGAGTGAGCAGAGAGCAAAGAAGTTGAGGAAATCTATTATTGATTGATTTTCATTATTATTCTTTATAACACGCATTACATGTGGTTTTATACTAAGAGAGTTAACTAACTAACTAACTAACTTACAAGTAACAGCTTAACTAATTTATATAACTAACTCTAACTAACAAGTTAACTAACTAATATTGTACACGTCATTATTCTAATACTCTCCCTCAAGATGAGAATGAATGTTATTCAAGCTCATCTTGCCAAGCAAAAAATGAAAACACTAGGTTGAAGAGCTTTTGTGAAGACATCCGCTAGTTGTGCAGTAGTAGGAACAAACTAAGGTTGGACAATACCAGCAGTAACCTTCTCACGGATAAAATAGCAATCAACCTCAATATGCTTAGTACGTTCATGATAGACCGGATTGCGACAAATGTGTAATGTAGACTAATTATCACACATAACGAGGACTCGGGTGAAGATGAGGAACCCCAAGGTTTGTTAACAAATACAAAAGCCTTAAGATTTCACTCGGTGACAATAGCCATGGCTTTATATTTAGCTTCGATACTACTACGATCTACAAGGGGTTGTTTCTTAGATTTTCAGCTAATGAGAGATTACCCTAAGAAAACACAAAAACCGGACACGGAGCGTCTTGTTTCGGGTAGCTAGCCTAATTACTCGTCGAATAAGCTTGCAACCGAAGTGTGGAATTAGAGGGAAACAATAAGCCTTGGCCCGGTGCATTCTTTAAAAATCGAAGGACCCTATGAGCATCCCGTAGATGTATTAAGGCGAGCTTGTCCATGAATTAGGCTAAAACTTGGAAAGTGTATGCAATATTGGGTCTACTAAAAGTCGGATAAAAGAGCTTTTCCACCAGCTTGTCTATACTCGGTAGGATCGGGAAGGAGATCAACCGACGTGTGGGTAAGCTTCGTTTGGGATGCATAGGAGTGGAAATAGGTTTAGCAACCGAAAAACCATAATCCTCAAGTAAATCTAGCACATACTTCCCAAGTCCTTAAGCTTAAACTTGGAGCTAAAAAATTGCTTAAGAATAGCTACATCGAAGGAGAATTACTAGTAATGACAATGCCATCAACCTAAACCAAAAGGGCAAAAAAGTTCCGTGATGAATAATGCTTGGTGAAAAGTGAATAATCTGCCTTGGATCGTTTAAAACCAAACTCAAGTAAAGCGACGAGTAAACTTAGCACTCCATCGCCAAGATGCCTATTTGAGTCCGTATAATGACTTATGTAACTTACAAACCAGATTAGGAGAAGTACCGCGTACTCCCCTTAAGCCGATAACCGGGAGGAATGTCCATGAAGACTGTCTCAAGCAAGGTCACCATGCAAGAAAGCATTGTTAATGTTTAGTTGAGAAAGACTCCAACCTTGAATAGCAGCCTAAAGCTAAGAATAATCCGACCGTGGTGTGTTTAGCGACGGGATTGAATGTTTCTTGATAATCGAAGCCTTCAATCCGACCGTATCCCTTTGCTACAAGTCCGACCTTATAAGCTTCAACACCGCCATCCGCCTTAAGCTTTACCTTGTAAACCCACTTGCAGCTTACGGTGTGATGACCGGGACGTAGGGGAAAAATGGACCAAGTGTGGTTCTCCTCGAGAGTCGTTAACTCGCATTTCATGACATCTTTCCGAGTGTTCAAACTTCATAGCTCGTAAGTAAGTTTTTGGTTCAAAACAAGAGGAAAAAGATATAGTGAATGTAGCATAAGATGGGGACAATTGGGAAATAGAAATGTACTTATGAATGGGATATGGTGTGGAATGAACAATAGAGCTATTGGACATAACGAGTTAGAAAGAGAGTGGTGGTATGCTTCTAAATACTTTGGAGGTTTATTGACTCTAGAAGACTTTCAAAAAATAGGAGTGAGAGATGGAATGGAAGAAGAAACATACATATCGTTAGTAGAGACAGTAGTATCTGCAGAAGATATAGGAGAAACATCAGTATGCCCAACACTAGAATCAATATTATCAATTGTATGCTCATCATTCACAATAGGACCGAGACTCTCAATGGTAGGATGAGAAATGACAGCAGGGTGTGTATCAAGTGTATCTAGAGGAATAACATGATGAGAAGGTTGAATCGACTAAAATCAAATAAGTTTGAAGTAGAAGGTCCATGACAAGGAGAATTATCGGAGGAGGAATGCATGAAGAAAGAGGAAAGCACAAATGAGGAAAAAGGAAACATAGACTCATGAAAAACCACATCTTTGGAGACCGAGACTTTATGTGATTGAAGGTCATACACTTTATAGCCTTTAATATAAGGAGGATAACCTAAGAAAATACAAGGTGTAGCTCTAGGTTGGAACTTCTTTCGTTATGAGTAAGAGTAGACACAAAACATAGGGAACTAAATACCCTTAGATGAGTATAGTGAGGTGCTTTTTGAAACAGTAGTTCATATAGGGACGGATGATTTAACGAGAGGAGAAAGAATGCAATTAATAATATAGGTAGCAGTAAGGATAGCATCTCACTAAATTTTTAATGGTAAGGATGCTTGGAAAAGAAGGGCTCTAGCCATGGATAACAAGTGTGGATGCTTTCTTTCAATAACGATGATTCTGCTATGGTGTTCCCACACAAGACAATTGATGGATGATCCCTTTGGAAGCATAAAAGCTGCAAAGATGAAATTCAAGGAAATTATCGGACCTAAGTTGTTTTATTTGGTGATTGAATTGAGTATGAATAAGCCGATAAAAAGAAGAAATGAGAGACGAAACATCGGACTTGTGTTTTAACAAAAACACCTAGGTCATTCGTGTATTGTCATCAACAATGATAAGAAAATAGCGAAAACCATTAAGAGAGGCTACAAAGTATGGTCCCCAAATGTCCACTTGGATCAATTCAAAAGGAAAAATTATGGTTTTATTATGAATGAGAAAAGGCAATCGTTTCGTTTTGCCGGAGGGCGTACAAGACAAGAGAGATTTGCATTACAATTCACGGTAGAATGATTCTTATGAATCATGTTTATTCTATCAATTGAAGTATGGCCTAGTCTACAATGCCAAATATCGGATATTACATGACTAGAAACACCATGATTAGCATGTTGGTAATTATCATACCGACCAATACAAGACTTTTGAATGGATGAAACTTGACTAGCTTGGACAAACCGAAGGATGAACAACCCCGATTAAAGGTTAGCAATTCTAATCATTGTCCATGAAGAGCTGTTCCGAATCATACATTTGTTATCGGAGAAAATTAGTCTATAATGTGAATGAATAGTGAGCTTATTGATAGATATTAGATTGAACTTGAATGAGGGAACACAATAGATATTATGAAGAACAAACGAGGATGACAAATAAACTTTGCTAATGTGAGTAACAATAGTTATGGTGCCATTCAGAATTTGAACAGTTATAATAGAGACGAGTTTATAGTTTTGAAAATATGCAAGTGAACATGAGATATTATCGAGTGGCACTCGTATCTAATATCCGGGTTTGTGAATTGAAAATTGGAAGGATATTGTTTGAATGGCAACAAGCAGGTTGGGTAAGACTGGAGTCATTACTCGTGAGGCTGGATATAGGTTGGGAATTAATGTTTGTATGCTCGAGGAACCGTAGTCTATGAGTCTTGAACACTTAAAATTGCCATTAGCTCGGAAATTTGCTCTTGAGTAAGATATACTATGGAGAAGCTTGATTGAGTACTTTGGGCAAAACCTTGGGTACCTCCTTACGTATTTGATGTCACACCATTGATATATCCGAAGCTCGAAACTTTATTGATATATCCGGAATGAGAGTTCCTATTCCCCCCGAGTGTATATTTCCACCATTTTCATATCTAGCGAGATAAAGATTTTATTCGGTAAACTTAAAGTTCTCTCGGAAAACCAATGAGTTTATAACGACTATCCTTACAAGTGGCTAAGTTTTCCATAATAAGAATAGGTAACTTGCATTGCCTTCTTGTTCCCAGCATATACAACCATAGCGGAATGCTCACTTAAAGGTTAAGTGAGAGCATGCATGTTCCTCCGTGATTCTTCTCTCAACGCCAAATTATATACCTCGTCTAGACTTGTTATAGGTTTCATGACAAGGACCCGAGATTTCAAAGAAGCAAATGACTCATTTAACCCATTCAAAAACTTAAACAAATAATCTTTCTCCCGTATATCAACAAACTTTTAAAAGCAATTATCGTTGCAACTTCCACAGGAGTAATGTGGCGATGGCCCGAAACTTCTCAACTCCTCCTATATGCCATTTAATTCCGTGAAATAAGTAGTCACGAGTCCGGTACCTCGGTCGATCGAACAGAGTGACCACTCGAAGATTACGGATTCGAGATTCATCTAGTTATGACAAGCTTTTCTTTAGAGTTCCCCAAATTTGTTGAACTAAGTTCATATAAAATACGATTGCAGTAATTAAAGGCGATAATGATCTAAGTAGCCACGCCACAACCAAGCTATTACACCAATTCCAAGAACTAAATAGCTGATCCTCATCTTTGGGTTTGGAAATAGAACCATCCACGAACCCTAACTTGTTACAAATTGACGGAGCTAGGGCAAATGACCTACTCTAGGTCGGGTAATTCTCCGTAGTTAATAAAGAAGTAACCACCAAAGATCCATGATGATCTAAGTGATGAATGTAGTAAGGAGAACAAGAATCATCCTTAGATGAGATCATTCCAATAGTAGGAAATCGAGGAATTTGTGATGTTTCTTCCATGAAAATTGCTCAAAAAGAGATGAAGAAACGAACAAAGATTGATTTTAAGAGAACACAAGATTGAACCTTCGCTTATGCGAGCTCCGATACCATGTTAACTTCTCAAGAATCAAGAATGTAGTAGTTACAAAAGCTATGAATTAG